CCCCAAAACCCCAAAACCCCAAAACCCCAAAACCCCAAATAAATCAAAATAGCTGAAACTTTACTTAAAAGGCTTCAAATAGACCGTTTCGAAATTCCTTGGCCAAAGCTGGCTAGCTTTGACCGGAAAGGAAGGTTTGAGTGGGTTTTTGTGGATGTTGAAATGAAGTTTAAGGGGTTGAGAAAGGAAAATTGGTGTGAACATTTTGAGTAGAATTGAAAGGGTAAAATTGCCTTTTAAGAGTGTACCTTTAGAAGGAATGAAGATGAAATAGGGTATGATGACAAGTAGAGCAGAAGACTATGGAAGGGGTTTTTGATAAAGACAATATTTGAAAAATATTTTTATCCGAGGAGATTTTCTTAGTTAATTCAAGAATTTCGATAAGTCATCAGAAAAATAGTCCTGTCCCAACCTAGTTATTAATAATCCCATTACAGTTAAGGAGAATTATAGCCTCTTCTGTTAAGTTCTTAGCCTTACACTCATGGTTACATCTAAAAGACAACTTATCTGACCTAAATGTCAGTCCTTCTAAGCTATCAGGATAATTTTAATGAATCAATTACGTTAACATACCCATCAAATGCATTTTAGTATGCCAATTTTGCCTAACTCAGGGCTGTATCTTATATAATAAAAGTCTTCTCTAAATTATTGTGGTCACAACAAATAGGCTGATTCCAAGGAGTCTTGCCCAATAGGATGATTTAGGAGTGTCTCAGGGAAAACCAAAGTTAATATTCCAATCGTTTAACCAAGAATTTTAGATTAATATCTTGACATGATTATAATCCAATGTAAAAGAGTTCATTTTCAGCATTCTCGGATGATTTTTCAAAGGCTTTGCATGAGAGTATACTTGTGCTAAGTCATCCATTTGAAGCATACAGAGTCTAACTGTGGATACCAACCAGTCATCAGCCTCAGATTTGGTTGGATAAGTAAACATTTTAGAACTAAATACAGAGCTGAGATTTTTCTGAAACCTTTCAGATCAGAAAAATATTATGTGCAATGACGATCTTTAGCTCACAAAAACTTGATAATGTAGCATATATAGGCTAAAGAGATGGGAGATAGTCGTCTTTAAGGTAAGCGTGGTTATTACTTCGAGATGGATAGAAAATCAAGTGGTAGGTTAAAGTCAAGAACAGTTGTTCTTACCGAGGTGGATGAAGTAAAATCCTTCGTTCTTGTGGATCTAAAATTTTACTAGAGCTTTTCTCACCGGGATTGAAGAGAATGATCAACTTGGAATTATCACCGAGTTTATGATAAAACATTTCCGACAAATTTCTACCCTCAAACTTCATTCTTACACTGCTAAATGGCAAACAAGCATATAAAACTCAATTCTGCGGCAAATCTATGCTTCTGGGCCTTTCTCCATCATCATTTTCCCCCAAAAGACCCCTATAAACCTTCTTTTCAACCTGACTCTCATAGACCTTAATTTCACACCAAGACATTCCTTCACATCCCCACAAGGTCTATTCACTCACACCGGTTCAAAACTCGTTCTTCGTTCATATTTAGTCATGTTTGAGAGCTTCACAACCAAAAGATGAAATTAACAATTAAAACTTAAAAGACTTTTATCAAAGATCGACAACCAAACCCAAGAAAATTTTAGTTAGCGTAAACTTGTTAGTAAGAAAGTTTAATGAAATACGGTCATCAAATTACGACCCATATTGCCAAAATTTTAGCAATTCCTCAGAGGCGATATTGATCTCTAAGATCCTGCCAAACCTGAATTTTTGCTCTATAAAAGAGCGTCCCTTGTAATAGCCGATGCCATTGCCCTCTGAAGAGGAATCGGAGACATCGGCAGGGTTGGAATTATCCAAACGACTTCTCTCCAATATCGTATCTACTTCTACTTCCATACACACCGGCAACTTTGACTTAAATAAAAGTATTAATAAATGGACTTTATGACAATATCAACGCTTGGACAAGAACGTGGGGTTTTGGGGTTTTGGGGTTTTGGGGTTTTGGGG